AGCATCTCTTTTTAGCAAGAAATATTGAGAAAATCGAAAAGAACTCTTCCTCCTATTCATTGGGTCACTTTTCAGCTCTGTATCACTGTTTACAGAAAAGTTAACTTCTTGGACTAGTAAAGCAATGTTTTCACATATTCTAGGTCTGTTGACCTAATATGAAAGCACACCTTCTTGTTCTGATTAGCAACAAGTGGGATCCCACTGTCCTCTCAGTCTATGTATGGCAGCGTTCCCTCTGTCAGGTCTCTCTGTAACAATGTGTAGCTGCAGTCATCACAAAATGCAGATGTTTAACTCATTGATTATAATTGGCAGCCAACCTCTGAATAGCTAGAGGGACACCAGTGACTGAGACCACTTGCTTAGAAAATTATCAAAGAGATGTTTCAGAAATAATTCCTATACTCGGTAGCAGGGAGACTAGACCACCTCCAAAATGTAGTCAGCTCTCAGTCTCTGAAGGTACTGCTTCAACTACAGTTGCCTCTGTTGTTATCTGTTTAGCTATTATTAGTCATTTTTGATATAACTCTCACGTGTCACTTTTCCCAGAGCATGAAGGTTTTCAGGGTATGACGAACAGGAAGCTGGAAATGGCCAAAGGCAATGTCATATTTTCTTTTGGACCTTCAGTCTTTCAAGCCTGACATAGAAAAGTGAGCACCGCTTGGATCAACTGAAGGCAGAATGCTGGGACTGCCTCTCCTCTCGCTAAATTTTTCTAAGCCTGCCCAACTCCCACTGCCATTCCCTGTAGCCTTTTTGCCATGACCCTAAACCCTCATTCTCAGTCCTGCCTTACATCCATTTTAAGTAAAGGCAGAAAGAAGGAAAATGATGAAAAATAGTATAAGCTTGTAAAAACTCCTGCCGTAGCAACTAGAGTGATGAGTTCATACCCTCACTGTGGCCAATCAGGTTTTTCCTCTTTTTCTCGCACATGGAAGAGCTTTTCTTGTTGCAATCTCTGGATTTCCTGGATCCTCTGGGTGTGGGGTTAAGGCTAAGATGATCTGGTAAGATAACAGCACCTCCAGGCTTTGGGGAGCTGCCAGCAGAGCCTACGAAAGACCACAGGTGTGTGAATTGTGGGACATGTAGAGCTGTCAGAACCTTGGGGACACACATCACTTCCTGTTACAGACGAGGGAGACTAGATCGGGGGAGAATAGTGAGATGGTTAGTGACAGATTCTAGAAAACTCACTGGGGTGGCCTTGGGCTCTTTCCAATACAAATAGGACATGAAGCTTTTGAAGTCCCTCACTTTGCTAAGGAGTTTTAAAGACTTTTGTTTGTTGTAATGTGTTTAGAAAATGGAACAAAATATTTGTGTTATTTGTGTAAATGGACTATTTAGTAGTGAAATATGCATGTATGAGAATTTTTTATTTTTAGTATGTCTTTAGGTTGTCTATTAGCATTTTCATTTAATACATGAGAACAAAACAATGGGAATCCTCATGCCATCTCTCTTTTTTTCAGCATCTAACGCTTTTCCAACTGTCTTCTCCTTGTGCTATGGACTGAATTATGTCCCCATCATACTTTCTGTGTTGAAGCCCTAGCCTCAGACTAGATGGCACTTGGAGATGGGGCCTGTGGGAAATAATTAGGCTTGAATGAGGTCATGAAAGTGGGCCTTTTGTGATGCAGCCAGTGCCCTTGAAAGCAAGAGATGTGAGAGAGTTTTTGGTCTCTTTCTTTCTGCCATGTGAGGATGTAGCAAGAAAATGGCTAGGAAGACAGTCATCACCAAAACCTGACCATCCTGACACCCTGATCTGAGACTTCCAGCCCTCAGATCTATAAACATAAAGGTTTCTGGTTTAAGTCACCCCCTCTGTGGTATTTTGTGATTGCAGCCCGAGCTGCCTAGACACCTGCTTCTCCTTCTCTCATTTTCTTTCTACCTTCTCCCTGGATTACTCTCTTCCAGATGGAGGATGTGGTCCTGGTGACAGTGACTGCCTATGCAATGCCGCCTCACTGCATTTTGCTGCTGCATCATTAGAGCTGGGGGAACAAAGTATTTTATCTATACTGCATTGTCTAAAAACTTTTTGACCAGTTTGACCAGGGGTGGGACTAAACTTTCTTCATTGTACAAATTCGTTGAAGATAACTCATTCTAAAAGCAGAGGAAAAACTGGGGAAAGGAAAGATGGAAGGAGAGGTTAAAGAGGAAGAAGATGTCGGACAGGCACAGTGAGGCTCCACTGCACCCACCTCTAGCCCTGGGCCTGTGGAGGTCCTGCATCCCCTGCTGCTCACTCCTCCTCTCCTCAGCATCTTCCCTGGCCACTTTGCCGCCATTTCCCTTCTCCCACTCCTGATAAAACTCGCTTCAACCTATCTGAATCAGTTTCTTATGTATTTTAAGAAGTAGCTTAGGGACTGAGAGAAACATTACTGTCAGTCACAGATACAAAAGCTGCTACCTGGATAACTAAGATGGGGCAGCTTTGCTGTGGTAGTGCATTCAGGAAAGATATCACCCACTCCTCAGCAAATAAAATTAATTGGCAGTCATCACTTTTTGCCAAACTTTGATTTCCATGACTCTACCCTCTGGGGTAACAGAAAAATGATCTGTATGCCAATGGTTGAGGACCAGAGATCCTCCCTCTCAAATAATTTCAGTGCAGATTAACTAGAGCCATCTCCAGGTAAGACATCCACCTGGGTTTCAGAGATTGCTCATCTGGAAGGAAACGCTAGCTCAGCATTATCCAACAGAAATATAATAGGAGTCACAAATGTAAGCTACGCATTTTAAATTTTTTAGGAGCCACATTTTTTTAAACATAAAAATAAGTCTGCGAAATTATTTTAAAAATACATTTTCTTTAACGTAAAATATTCAAATATTATCATTTTAATGCATAAGCAATATAGAAAATGTGAAATAGTTAACATTTTTAAACTGAATCTTCCAGTCAAATGTGTATTTTACGTTAAAGCACATTTCTATTCAGACTAGCCACATTCCAGTGCTTAATGGTCACATGTCACTAGTGACTACTGTATTGGACAGTAGAGCTCCGGTCAAATGAAAGGAAAGGTGAGACCCTGGCACATCAGCAGATAAAGAAGGCCCCCTGCCATATGGACCCCCTCTCCTGGGGTGGAAAGCACAGGCCTGTCACAGAGGCAATAAACTAAATGCTCTTTTGAAATTTGAGATGTTTTTTCATTGCTTGTTAACTTATGAAAGGTACTCAAATTGACATCTTTCTTTTTTTGGAGTTGGAGTCTCACTCTGTTGCCCAGGCTGGAATGCAGTGGTGCAATCTCGGCTCACTGCATCCTCCAGTTTCCGTGTTCAAGTGATTCTCAAGCCTGTCTCCTGAGTAGCTGGGATTACAGGTGCACACCACCACTCCCAGCTAATTTTTGTATTTTTAGTAGAGATGAGGTTTCACCGTGTTGACCAGGCTAGACTCGAACTCTTGATCTCAAGTGATTCACCTGCTTCAGCCTCCCAAAGTGCTTGGATTACAGGTGTGATCCACTGTGCCCATCCTTCAAACTGGTCGGAATAATGGAGAATGGGCTATCTTAAATATTATTGTTATAATTTTAAATATTCTAACAGAAATTCAGAACAAAAATTTCCCCATGGATTCTTAAACCTTACTAAAGTGCTAATAATTTCCAAGAGCAGAGAATAGCCTTATGTCTCCTCTTATCACTTTTGCGAAGCCAAAAACACCCTGCCCACTGTGCAATGTGTTGCCAAATATTTTACCCCTTGATCCCTTGGGAATGTGATAACTGCTAATTTTATTTGCTGAGAAATGGATGTTGTTGTTTTTTTTGCCTGCATGCATTATTACAGTAAAGCTGGCCCATTTTTAGCAGGTGTGTAGGTACCCAATAGGAGCAGGCCTTCATATCTGAGACTGACAGCAATGTTTCTCTCAGGTGAAGCTGTGAGATTTGTTTTCACTGGGGATCTCATAAATGGGGGACCTCAGTTATAACAATCCACCATGGAGACCATGCATCAGGTTCATTCATATATGCCATTAGCTCCATTAGTTCTGAAATGATACCCAAGCCCTTGACATCTCTTACTACTTACACCTAAGTCTGCCTTTTATGTAGCTCAGAGACATTTAATGCTGGAAATGTCAAGAGTGGTAGGGTACTGCTAAAGGCTAGTAAGATGGACTTGAATTTAAGGAGCCCATTTTTTGATGGGCTATAGAGGTGTTTTCAAGGACTCCTTATGACCTCTAAACTTTTATCTCTTTGTTGAAATGTCTCTCTCTCCTTACTTACTTAGGCCTTATCCGTATTGAGGGGTTAACTGATAGAAATTGGTAAAGGATAAGCTTTCATGTCCAGGAGGTATTTGTGATTTAATTAAGACATGCTAAAAAACCTTCAGGCCTCAAAGAAATGAATCTGTATGGGAAATACCATGATAATAGAGTTTTCCTGGAGCACCTCAAATTGCACCGTTGCTGAATGGACTCAAAAGCTGACTTGGGTTTAGAAACTAGTCTTTCCTCTTTATTGCTTTCCCCAGAAAGAGCAATGGCAACCTTTTCATTTTTTTTTTTAATTTTCAATTGAATTAAAATTCAAATCAAAGCTTAATTCTACTTGATCATAGCTCTTGTGAAAGATTCTTAGGGAAAAGAATAACATGAAAGTTGGGATGGCTATTGCTTGTAGATTGGATTTTCATGGCTGAATCATTACTATGGTTAATTGAAAGTTAAATGCATATAAAAACGAGTTGGCAAGGGCTGATTCTGTACATTCTCAAGAGGCTCCCAAGTTTTGTTTTGTTTCTTTTTCCATGAGCACCCAGAATCTTTCCTCTCACTGGATCCAGATTTTATTTTCATGGTATCTAACCAGATGATGCAACATCTGTGTTCTTTTAAGAACGTGAGAAATTAAGCTTTTTTCATTTTTCCTCTCTTTGCTTTCTGGGAAATCTAATCAAAACTGCTCAGACTTCCCTTTTCTTGTTTGCTTTAGAAGACAGCTTGCTGGAAGAGTTCTGTGGAGGTCTCCCACCTGTGGTGAAAAGTGACAGAAAAATTAGCCTGATTATGGAACTGTCGACCCAGGTTTCCCTTCAGACCAAGAGGATCACTCAGCTTCAAGAAATTTTGGAGGAAAAGGAAAGGAAGATTCAGCAGCTGGAAGCTGAGTGGAGTGCCCAACATTCCCAAGAGGTCAAGGACCCTCCAGAATGTTTATAAAAAGCCTCAATTTTCTCTTTTGATGACGTCCCTCTTGTGGTCTCTGATGAGAATTTGTAAAGATTCCCAGTAAGAAAACAATAAAAGTTTTTTAAGTGTCATCCAGGTACAGTCAGATCCCACCAATCCCAAGTAGTCTCCTAGGTGACAAACTCAAGTTCAAGTCCATGGGTTTGAAGGTATACTATAATGTTCATACTGGAAGAAAACAAAATAAAGGAATGTTCAGGAGGAAACACTGCATGTTTCGCCTTCAGACAGCAATAGTCACGTAAACCACGCAGCTGTAGATTACTGTGTTTTTAGACATTCCTGGTAGGAGTGGGGGGAGGGAAGGAAACAATACTAGACAGATGGTGAAAGAACTTAGCATTATCCTCTTACCAGAGATTTGTCACACTGCAAGGGAGGGGTGGCACTGACCAGTTTAGTATGCAGCTCTATTGTGAAAAGAAAGCTGTCATGGAGGGCAAGCTTCAAACTGGTGAATGGTGAGGTACTAAAGAGCAGGAGCCGCCAACAGAGTAAATAGCCACAAGGTCTGTCCTTTCATGTCCTCAAGAGTTTATTTCTTTATGGCATGCATTTTATTAACATTAGCAAGGATAGAAAGGAAATAAAACTAAAGCAATAAAAGCAATTAAAAATGGGTGAATCAGAGCTGCGGTCCTTTGGGAAAAGTGTCCTGGTTCAGTATCTTCCTGGGAAAACACACAACATTGATTTTTCCCTTAGGAAAAAGACTGAAACCAAAGCAAAATACAATCTTCTATTATGATTTTACCAATAAGCTGTGAACAGTGCAAAATACTGGTAGGAATAATGGAGAAGAGGCAAAGGAAAGCTTTCCTATAATTAATGGAATAAAAGAAATCAGATCATATTTCTCTTCCACTCAACCCCCTTAAATAAACTATTTCCCCACAAAGGGCGCAGCTAGGTACTAACTGTGAGGAAGACTTTGGTCCTTAATTCTTACTGTTCTGTACAGCATCACTCAGGCAAACAGCTCTAGCTCTCTCATGAGTATGACTGTAATGCTAGTTTTCCATTTAATTCAACCGGTTCAACAAATCCTCATCAAATACTCTTCTATCTGGAAGGCACAATAATAGATGCTAGAAATCACAGCAAACATGAGAATCACTATTTTCGCCATCCGGAAGTTCATAGATACACAGGATCTCCTTAAAAGTAAGGCTGATTGTACTGAGAGATGGGAAATTGGAGAAGGGAAGTGGGTGAACATGGGGTAAACCTGATCAGCATTGCTTCAGCAGAGGTTCTTAGATATACTGAGCATCAGTAATCAGCAAGAATGTACATTCCTGGCCTCTGGTTTAGGGCCCAGGAATATGCATTTTAACAAACACATGTGGCATTTCTGATGAACTTATTCCAGAAACTACATTTTAGGCCACATTGGTTTAGGGATGGCTTCAAGCAGACCTACTATACTTTTGCTCCCAGACTACTAGAGAATCCCCAGAAGGAGAATTTCTCCTTGCAATCTGGGTTGAGTCTTATACACTATTTAACTATTGCATAATCTGATTATGGATCCCCACTATCTACAAAACTCTGTTTCCAAATGTGATTTTTTTAAAACAAAAAAGGAATTAATTGAGTTCTTGACTCACATAAGATGACTTATTGATATTTACTACAGAGGTTCACTACCCCCTAACAAAAAAACCCAAAAAACAAAAATCATGGGTCCTATTAGTAGCCTCTGTTTTCAACCAGAGCTAGAATTTTCCCTCAGTATTTAACCTCAGTTTTGCCTGCAATGACTACAAGTATGCACAGGTGCAGCTCTATATCAGAAATGAAACTAAATCACTGATCATGCATATACACTACCCCAGAAAGTAGTTGAAAGTATCTCTTTATCTTTTCCACAGGGTGCACTTCAGTTCCTACATAATCCACTTCAGAAATCCCTTCTCGCTGGTCCCTCCTTTTCGCACCTCCCTTAGCCCCATGATTTCCTTGCTCTTTTCCATTTCTCTGGCCTAGGTGCCCTGTTGCAGTCATGACACTATCCATTGCCCCTGACACTATCGTGAGGCTGAGGCATGTTCTTATTGTGTATTTCTAGGAGAAAGCTTTAAATCTTTCCCTTGATTAACAGTGGACCATCTGCAAGACAAACTGACAACTCCACAATTTTGTTGTGTTATTATGCTAACCAAGTTTCCATCTTTTTATTTTACCAAAGATTGTCTTAATCTCATGGGATATTGGGAGTGAGATATCCCAGTCTCACTATAGAAAAGTAGAGAGAGAGAGAGAGGGAGAGAGAAAAAAATTTCATCACATTCCAGATAGGGGGGTGTCAACTTCTAGATCAATTTCCCCTGATCTCAGGTTAATGTCCTGAGTAGCCCTCAGTATGAAAGCAGTCTTACAGTGGAGATAAAGTAACAGGCAGAGCAGGAGCTGCTATTAATAATTAATTGAGCCTGTCACCTCTAAATATCCAAGGACCAGACACTGAAGAAGAAAGCACCAAGGGTCATATTACCCTGCAAAACCATCTTTACAAGAAGCTCATCTTGACTCAGGTCGAGGTTACTGCCACATTAGAAGTGGGGAGGAAATTTGGCTCAAAGGTATGAATGGACTAATCTCTGTTAGGGACATCTTAGTAACAAGACATTTTAAAGTATCTGGGGTTGGAAGAGGGGATGAAAGGAGTGTCATTGACTCCTGAAAAAGTTATTCTTTTCCTTTATTTGTTTTGAAATGTAAAATTATTTAGAGACAGGGTTTTACTCTGTGGCCCAGGCTAGAGTGCAGTGGCACAATCATGGCTCACTGCAGCCTCAGCCTTCTGGGTTCAAGCAATCTTCCTGTCTCAGCATCAGGAGTAGCTGGGGCCACAGGCATGAGCCACCACACTCAGCTAATTGTTTTAGTTTATTATAGAGACCGGATCTTGCAATGTTGCCCAGGCTGGTCTTGAACTTCTGGCTTCAAGCATTTCTCCTGCCTTGGCTTTCTAAGCTCTAGGATTACAGGCATGAGCCACCAGACCCAACTGGAGAAATTTAAAAGTGGAAAAATTCACATTCCCAGCTGAATCTTTATATGATTGTATGCCCCAAAGTTCATTTCTATGTTCTGCCAAACCTCTAGGAAATTGAGTAGTAAACTTCAAATTGTGCTAAACACCTGCTTCAGACAAACTGAAAATCAGATTATAGTCTAGACTGTAAACAAAAATCTCATTTTCTTAAAGCAAATTGGGTTGCTGAATTAGTTCACACCGATCATTAAAATATCAGGTATAAATATAACAAGGCAATTCACATGCTAATGATCCTATTTTTTAATGAAAATTCAGCAAATCATCAGGCAACATATCTAATTCAAAAATAACTGAAAATCTGGGAAATAAGGTACTCAACAAGAGTACCACAAGCCATTCTCTAATAGTATAAGAACATTTACAGAACTATATGCATAGTTTTAATTCTCCTTTTTCACCAGTCATGAACTTTTCTCAGACAGAAAGCTAAATTAAATATGTAACATTTCTAACCAATTTAAGTAAATATTGGATTTAACAATTTAGTTTCATGATTATATTAGTGGACTTCCAAATACTTTCATGGAAAGCTGAAATCATAGCAATAAACTCGTTAAAGATTAGTAGAAAAGCAAGCCATTGGAGTAACTGGGCCAGGGGTTGCCCTAGTATTCAAGTATTCAGTTCAGCAAAAGCAGAGGAATTATAGTACTTTTTTTTTTTTTTTTTTGAGATGGAGTTTCGCTCTTGTTACCTAGGCTGGAGTGCAATGGCGCAATCTCGGCTCACCACAACCTCGCCTCCTGGGTTCAGGCCATTCTCCTGCCTCAGCCTCCTGAGTAGCTGGGATTACAGGCACGTGCCACCATGCCCACCCGTCTCTACTCAAAATACAAAAAATTATAGTACTTTCTAAGTACATTTCTCGAAAAGAATGAATCTAATGCAATTCCAATTATCTCTTCTACTCTCTCTGTTTATTTCAAAATCCAATAATTTTCTTCTACATTACACTTAAATAAATAATTTTTGATTTAATGCAATAGAGAATTGTTGATAAATGTTATAGGCTTAAGTAAAAATAATATTTGTCAATTATCAAGTATAGAAACTGCAAAGACGAAACTATTCTAAAAGATTTTTTAAAACATTTTAAAAAGATGTAGGAAACCAAATATTTGAGATTCAAAGCCTGATTCTCATAATTTGAAATTAGATAACAAAAAAGAACAAAGTATAAAGAATAAATAATTATTATTATTATTTCTTCCTGGTTTTACTACAAAAATTTTATTAAGATTTCCCACACACAAGAAAACTTTCCTGCTAAAAGAGGAGAATCAAGTTCAAGTAGGAAATAACCTTTTTAAAATAGAAGAACAAGTACACTGGGACAAAGTTCACAGCAAAAGATAGGCCTCGCCATGAGATTTCCCACACCTAATGAAATTATGACTTTTATGGTAAAACAAAACAAAAAACAGTTCTTATTCTCAGCTTTCCAAAGAAATCATTTTCAAAGCCAGACACTCTCCCTCTCCCCACCCTCCACCTTCAGGTAGGCCTTGGTGTCTGTTGTTCCCTTCTTTGTGTTCATGTGGACTCAGTGTTTAGCTCCCACTTGCAAGTGAGAGTTTAGCTCACTTCTTTTTTTTTTTTAATTTTTTATTGCATTTTAGGTTTTGGGGTACATGAGCAGAGCATGCAAGACAGTTGTGTAGGTACACACATGGCAGTGTGTTTTGCTTCCTTTCTCCCCTTCACCCACCTTTGGCATTTCTCCCCAGGTTATCCCTCCCCACCTCCCCCTCCCACTGGCCCTCCCCTTTTACCCCCAATAGACCCCAGTGTTTAGTACTCCCCTCCCTGTGTCCATGTGTTCTCATTTTTCATCACCCGCCTATGAGTGAGAATATGCGTTGTTTCATTGTCTGTTTTTGTGTCAGTTTGCTGAGGATGATGTTCTCCAGATTCATTCATGTCCCTACAAATGACACAAACTCATCATTTCTGATTGCTGCATAATATTCCATGGTGTATAGTGAAAATAGGTATTTGGTTTTCATTTCCC